TATTAAATTATAACCTGTCAACCATATTTTAAAATTTGTCCCTTTTACTGATATGGAAACAAGACAGGCAAGTTGCCTGAAGGCACACGGCTAATAAGTGGCAGCTGTCAATCCCAGGCCATCAGCCTCCACAATGTGTGATCACATGGCCTCTCACATAAAGGGAACACAAAACCCCCTTTGGCCTTCATTATGGGTTGAATTGTGTCTCCCCAAAAGATGCCACAGTCCTCACCTCCTATGAATGTGACCTTATTTGGAAACAGAGTTGTTGCAGATGTCATTAGTCAGGATGAAGTCATCAAGATGAACCCTAATCCAGTGTGACTGGTGTTCCTACCTATATAAAGGAAAAATTCAGAGACAGGCACGCACACAGGCAGAACCCCACTGAACATGAAAGCAGAGATGAGTTGATGCATCCTCAGGCCAGGGCGCGTCAAAGACTGCCAGCAGGCAGCAGAAGCCAGCACAGGCCTGGAACAGACTCCCTCCCAGCCCTAGAAGGAACCAGCCCTGCCCACACCTTGATACTCCAGCTTCCAGCCCCCAGGACTGAAGAAATTAATTTCCGTTGTTTAAGCCACCCAGATGATGACACTTAGTTACGACATTCCTGGAAACTAATATGAGCCCATCAAACTGCTAAAAGAAACTGCCTAAAATCGGCAATGCTAATAAATAATCCTGCAGAAGGTATATGCATAACACAATAATCGCACCCTTGTTGGACTAAAGAGCTAAAGATACAGGACATTAATGGGGCTTCTAACTCACTGGCATGCCCCCAAGTCCTACTTCCTGGCCTTTCAGTAGCTATGTCTAAAAAAGAGAGAGAGAGAAAGAGCCAGAAACCCCAAAAACCAAGTGAAGACACATTTCCATGCTACCCACCAGCTCCTCAGAATGAGCAATGCTACCACTCTCGTCCAGAAGCACACATGTTCCCACACTCACACATCAGCCAGAAGCAGACACTTCCCACTCTCTGCCCTGCAACCCACTGTTGATACTCCCCACCCTCCCACAGACAGCCTATGAGTCAGAGACGGCAGGTGGCAGCTGGGGACTGCTGTCAATGCTTCCCAGTCCTCTTGCGGGCTGCAAGAGGGAGAGAGGTGACCCCACAATGGACACCATAGCAAGAGTTTTGTAGAGGGAAGGGGAGGACTCTTGAGACCCCAGAATATTAGTGTCATCCTCTGGCTGTCACTCACAGCAAATCTCTGACTGTTTTGATATCAAAAACCTCAAACAGGCTGTAAAAGCATTTGGATGAGATTTTCTACTAGCTGATGTAGTCGCTTCCGATCGAGTTTAGGGTTTCATCATCTGAGGTCTCCTGATGTAAATCTCAGGGTCCTACACACATACACACACACACACACACACAGGCTACACACACACACACACACACACACACACACACACACACTCTCTCTCTCTCTCTCTCTCTCTCTCTGGCTCCTGTCCCTGCAAGAACATAGCCTCCTGAAAGGTCCCCAAAATCTGGTGGTGAGCGATACACCCAGAGAGGTGCAGGATGGGTCAGGTTTCTGACCCAACACAAACTGAGTTTTATGCTTGGAGTTAGTTCTTTCAAAAGTCCCTATCATTAAATCACCTTGGTAATTCCAGACACCCATCAGGGATCTTGTTTCCTGAGAGTGAAGCCAACCCTGGGCTCACAGAAACCATGAAGAATGGTCCCCTGCAGGGTGGGTAACATGAATGGGAAAGCCACCTTGTCATTGGTTTGAACTGAGTTACAGAAATGCCTGGGACATGTACACAGGTTATTCTAAAGAGAAAATCTTATGATATTTACCACGGGTTGACAGTCTGACAGAGGGACGCCTAAAACTGCAAGCAAAGGAGCATCATGAAGCCAACAGGTAGCCCACCAGAACCCCTGCTACGGCCTGTCAGCAGCACCCCATGTGGGCCAACTTTCTGTGTGAAACAAGGAAGCCCATTCAGAAGAAAAATAAATGTTTCAGCCAAATTAAGCACAGACACCCACAAAAAGAGCTGTATTAGATCATGACAGGCACAGAAGGTCAACATGCGCCATGACCTGCCTGTACTTAGGCACTAAAACACCCACTGGAGCTCTGCTAACAGGGAGGGGGTCTAATGACCCAAGCATCCTCAATTCCTAGTTGGTCACAGTTTAACACCAGCCTGGTCAGCCCTCTTGGGACAGCATTGTCCAACAGACAGGATGGGAGTTTACTAGATGCAATCCTCTATCTTGACTGCTGCTGATTCGGACAAGATTGTGGGGCATGATTTTGCTATAGCAGGCCCAGCGGGCTGGGGGTTCTCTCCTCATTGGGCCCAGCTCCGTCATCCCAAGAAGGACGTGGGTCTCAGAGGTGGGTTTTAAAGTGCAATAGCCCTATCTCCAAGCAAGATCTGAGAGGGTTGAAAGGAAGCGAGGCTTCTAAGAGACTCCTTTAGCTTTTTAATGTTTTTTAAATTTTTGTCTTTATTTTCTGAGACACCATCTGGCTCTGTCACCCTCGGTCATGCCAGGCTGGAGTGCAGCGGCATGATGTTAGCTCACGCAATGTCCACCTCCCGGGCTCAAGTGATCATCCCACCTCAGCCTCCCAAGTAGCTGGGACTACAGGCATCCTCCACCACGCCTGGCTAACTTTTGTATTTTTTGTAGAGATGGGGTTTCACCATATTGCTCAGGCTAGTCTCAAACTCCTGAGCTCAAGTGATCCGCCTACCTTCACCTCCCAAAGTGCTGGGATTATAGGCATAAGCCACCATGCTCAGTCTCCTTTAGCTTTTTAAAATTTCTCATGAATATTGTTATGAAAGGCTTATTCCACTATCTCTTGTCCATTAAATACAGATTAATTTTGGAACTACCCATCACGGCCACCTCTAATCCTTTCTAGACTAAAGCAAGAATCTAAATAAATATGTAGACAGACTCAACTGCTCTCTTACTGCAGGTGATTAAACCTGAACAGGTGGTAGGTCCTGACATACAGCCTCCTAGAGCTGCACTGCAGAGACTGGACGGCCTGCATGCCGCTCGCCTTGGCCCCGCACAGATCTGTCTGTCTTGGGAGCCAGGAGGTCAGGCAGCCTCCTGGGAATGAAAAGCTTCGATTCAGACAATCACAGGGACATTATTGAGTAGAATAGAAAGTTCACATGAACTTTTCAAATAAGAACAAGAGACCTCAGAGAGGCTGTGGTGCCCTGCAGGAGGCTTTGAGCTATGTTGCTCCCCAACTCCAGGGCACCTGAGCAGAGAAGTCAGGGACAGTTTCAGAGCATTCAGGTGATCTCAGTGGCCCACCTGGGAAAATCAAAGATGGGCTTTTTTCTCATAAACAGGAAGCAAATGGGCAATGGCCCATAGCACACAGTTAGCAGATCAGATCCACATCTGCCCAACATGGAAAGTAAAAACAGACTGCAAGGAGAGCTTAACCTTTCCAGACACACTCTCTCCTGCGGATCCTGAGTCAGGCCTTGACAGAAGCAAATGGGTACCTGCCAGAGTTTTGAGAGGTGACCTGGACTGTCCGAAATTTTCCAGAGTCTAAAATGGAGGGATGATGTCTAGAAAGTTCTACAATATCCCAAACGGTACCCTATAGGTAACAGGTACTCAATAAATGTTTGGGGATGATGAGAAATCAGCCTGACATAAGCAGAGAACTAACCAAGGAACTTGGCTCCCACAGCACCAGGAGCACCAAATATTCCGGGGCAGGACCCAGGGTCTCCCTCCAACCCCCAACCCAGGGTCCTCCTGAAGTGGTCCTCAGATACACGTTGAGGGACACTAATCCTGAGAAGATGTCACACACCCAGGGATGATGGGGCTGGGACTAGAACGTGGTCAGATAACGCCCCACTCAGAGCTGCTTCTCCTGGGCCAGAGCATGACTGATTATTGATAGAGACCGGGTATTTCTCTCTAAGTACCAAGAACCATCTGTAACAAATTTCTGCAGTTGGATGTAATTCAGAGTAAGCAAGTCATCCTCAACGCAGTTCTAAACTGGTCTCTATGATTAATGTTCTTTGAAAGTGGCTGAAGGCCTGTTCTTGCAAGAAAAATGAACTTGGAAGCTTCCACTGGTTTGGCTTGGAGTGCTCTTCATCATTCGCTCGGCTTGTTGCAGCAGCAGCCTGCAGCTGAAATCAAGAAGCATTTTCTATCCAGGCAACGGCACAGGTCCCAGTGCGATGCCTGGAGCTCCAACTGGAGTCAGTGGCTTAAAAGGGTTATTTCATTCCTTCTCATCAACCCAGAAGTCTCACCTTATCCAAAAGCTCATGTTTGAACTAATGACAATTAAAATGCAGAAGTATTGTTTCCTAGTTCCTTGGCCCTGTTTTTCTCATCCATAATTTTAAGCCCTCTTTGTATTATAAAATGTTTTATAAACCATGTCCAAACCCCTTTGAAATGAAGGTGTAATCAGTAATGCTCTCCACTGAATTCATCAGGTGATCTTGCATGGTGGAGAAGTCACACTGACCTTGACTTCCGTCCCAGAGCCCTTCCTGTACTCTCTGTGTGACCTTCAACAAATGACCTAAACTCTCTAAGCCCCATTTTCATCTTCTACAAAGTGGTACTAATACCCACATTATAGGATTGCTGGGACATTAGAAAGACAAAAATAAGATGGTATGAAAGTGCTTTGT